AAAAAATTTAGGCGGAAGTGGGCGTGGCCTATATAGGAAGATTCAGCTACATTCACCGAACGCGTGGATATAAAGTTTTTGAATGTGAGACAAACGATGCGGGAGTTATTAGCGTCACGAAATTTGCCTACAAATAGCGCCGCCTAGTGGCTGACCTGAATGTGACGGATAGAATATATGATATATATATACAAATAAAATGCGCATATTGTATATGTTCAGGGGGTCAAAAATGCCGTCAAAGTTCTTAGAAATAATAATAATAAACGGAGCAATAACAATAGGGACCTCACACTGTGCTGTGCTCACTGTGCTCGGTCCCTAATAATAATATTAGCAAAAACAATAGGGAATCCAGTTCATACTGGCTCAGTCCCTAATAATAAACATAGCAAAAACAATAGGGTCCTCCCAGTGTTGACACTGGCTCGGTCCCTAATTAATCTCTGTGAATTATGTGCAACCTTGCAATTTTGTCCAATCACCACAACCTTTCTGCAACTTTGTCAAATCACTGTAGGTTTGCATGCAAGACACTGCGCCATATGTCACCAAACTCACTTCCTTGTCCCTATCTAAACAGTGTGATCTTATTCTCACTGGAGTTGCCTTCAAGTGTTTTTGAATTATACAAAAAAATAACTATTTTGACAATTTTTTTTACTTTCTCTAGCAATTTCACTGCTACAAAATATCAAAAACCCTGTAACACGCATTGTAATCTTTTAGATTAGTTGCTGTGAAATCAGGCATTTTACGCTGCACCAATCCCCAAAAAAGCCTGCAAAATCCTAGAGGGTCTGGTTAGGATACAATCACATGCTGGACTTATTAATTCATATTAATTAATAAATAATTGCGCAGTGTGAACCCCAACAAACTGAATTCAAAATGCAACTTAGTTAAAACCAAAGAAAACATCCAAAATGATATCACACCTTCAGTCTTGTTTGAACACATCTCTATAAATAAAGCTCTGTAAGATAAGATATATACTTTATTGATCCCCCAGGTGAAAATTCTGTATTGATTTGAATGGGGAAAGGTTTGTGTCAAAACAACAATCAAGTCCAAATGGACAGTGATGTCTGTCATTAATGGAGAGCTTCGACAAAACTGCTGTGTTGATGCATTTTGTCTAATTCCCCCCCAGCCTCCCTACATACACTGGCAGGCGAGGTTGAGGACAATGAAGGCTCCGCCCCAAAGCTGTCTTCAACTTGATAATCCATCTCGCCTCATTTGTTGGATATTGTTTTGCAGTGATTTTTAATCTAACTCCATACTCCATTTTTATTTAAGTCTATTAACATATTGAACCATTCCCCACAGGTAAGTTGTACAGTGTGTGAGCATTTAGCTAATGCTCCCACAACAGAACACCATTGTTGTGCTGAAGAAGGCCAGCTGAAGAGGCTGATGGCGAGAAGGTGAAAAATGTTGATTTATGAAACGACAGTGGAAGGCTGCTGGGCCACTGCTTCCCTACTAGAAATAATTGTACTGCTTGTGTGCTCAGTTCAACATCTCCCTGCCTTTCATTAGCTTTTTATTGGAGGAGGGAGACTGGCTTGGCTCATTAGCCTTGATTGCTTTGTGTTCACTCGGTGGAGAGAACAGAGAGAGAGGATGGGAGGAGATGCTGTTCTGAGCTGCATAACGAAAGCCTGTCTAACTTGAGGAATTGTCTTCATGACTTCTTATACAAACACACAAAATCAGGTGAGTACTGACAGAAGTTGTGTCACGCCAGACAACAATGTCAGCTTTAACTCGCCTCAGGTCAAAAGCTCATACTCTCACATAAAGCCAGATTTCTGGTGCACTTAGGCACATATCCAAGTCAGTCAAGATCCTTTAACTGTGCGCTTGGCTTTAATAAGCAATTGTGGTGTGACTGGTGTTGTAAAGGAGGTGTGGAGATTTTCATCTCACAATGAAACCCAGGGGCTACCATAATACCACAGTGAGAAGGGACTGAGAGGACAAGGAAGGGCTGTGTCTTTATGAAGGGGGAAATGAAAGCCTGAGGTATGGCCACATGTTTAACGACCTCTCAGCTACACTTCAGGTCTGCCGATGAAATGGCAGCAATTATGGAAAACAAGACAGAGGCCCTCAAATTAGTTCATAAAGGTTCAGGCAATTAGCTGCAGTTAATAAGGCAATGGTGAATAGAATTTGAAAAAGCGTATAGGGCTGAGCAGCAATATAGAAGCAAGATGAATGATAGGGAGTATCTCAGACAGGTACTGTATGACAATTTCTATGCCGCCGTATACCCCTGCACACAGTCACAGTCTGGTGGTCTCTCCTTCCACTCAACAGGTGTGGGGGCCTTGATTAGTTGCATTTCATTAGTCTGGGTTATTCCAGAGTTTTATTGTCCTGTGACCATCTGCATGACGTTTTAGAAGCTTTTCATCTCTGACAAAAATACAATTCTGGGGGGAAAAAAAACAAAAGACGAATGCAGACATCTCCATTTTGCCACCAGGTGGACACTGTAATTGGTTTAGGCCAGTAGCAGGAAATCTGTAGCTTTTTATCCTCTCTACAGTCCTGTGCCTTTGACAAAAAATTATATGGACATTTTTCTCATCATCGTTGTAGTGCAGCCATTACATACCACAACTAAAATGTGTATCAAATGACTCACTCTGAGCTATGCAAGGAGCCCCTGTCTCATTTAAAGACAACTCTGTTACATATCAAACACTCTGTGCCACATTAAAATCAAATGAGGTAGAGACCACAGTGTAGTTAGCTACCTCTCATCTCCATCAAGTACATTCGAAAACCTTAGCCTAAAAACTTGTTTCAGGCTTGTTTGACTACTTTTTCCATCAGTATGTTGTTTAAACGTATTGGCATATTTCATATAGTTCAAACTGGCCTTTTCAGCATACTAAATGCAAAATATAATACAAAATTAGAAAACTTTAATTTTACAGACTTACACCTGACAAACATTTCATGTAGGGATGTCCGATAATATCGGCCCTCCGATATTATCGGCCGATATTCACTAAAAAATGTAATAT